AACACGCTGTCCTTGGTTGCAGCGTTGCACAAAAGCTTTGGATAAGGTTTTGCAGCGAAGGCGAAATTCAAACCTATGGCATTTTGAACAAAAGTTTCTGGTTTTTGTTTTTCGTTTTCTGCCAAAAGTTGCTGACTTCGTTTACGAGCAGCCATTTAAGAAACTTCTGTTTTGCAAAATCTGAAATAAACCGTATTTTAACAAAGAGCTGTTGAGAGGTAACAAGGACGTGATAGTCAGGAGGGTGATTAGAGATGTCTACGTGGTCCGAGTCCTGTTTGAAATTCTGGTTTTCAACCTGTGACCAATGACACGTGTATTTTTTTTTTTCCCCCATCTTCCCCGTTAACTTCTGTTGTAACTATGTTACGGTATTTCCTGTATTAAACCGATTTGATGTGGTACAAAATGTCTTAACTTTTGAATTTGAGGTTTGACTTCTGGGCAGAGACTTGTCTCATGACATTTTGAGCGCTGTCACTGTTAAATTACCTATTCAGGAAAAAAAAAAAAAAAAGTTGTTAAGAATATTTTTTCAAATATTGTGAGTGGTGGATGATGCCTACTTTAATAAAACCCTATGCAGATGTATCCTTGTTTTGTCATCCTTGCTCAGAGCGTGTCAGAGCGATGATGAAGGATGCCAGTTAGTGCTCGAGCCTTTTCTTCAGCCGCAGAAGCGATGCGTGGTTTGAGCACAGGGGAGGATGCGCCTCCCCCAGCCTGCGCAGTGACTCCCAAACGGGTGTGTTCAACTCTATTCCAGTTGCTCTGCGTAGCAGACGGTTGCACACGGGCGAGTGCAGTGTCGTTGCCCTTTAATCTTCAGCGAGCCGCCAGGCAGGTGTACGGGCTTGTGCTTGCGACCGGCAGCTGCCCCAAAAGTGCTGGATTTCAAATATTTCTCTGTCGCTTCGAGATTTCTCGGCCCTTTCTCCCGTTGAGAAGCCAACCGACCTGCCTTCAGCCGCGTTGCTGTCTCTCTTTGCATCCCTGCAGCTTTGGAACGGCAAGAGCAACGGTGTTCTGAGGGAGGAGCTTTAAAAAACACTCGCCAAGGGTGGAAGACTGTAGGGTCCTGGTTTCCGCTTCTGCGCGGGTCTTGGCTCCGGCTGTTGCACACCCAGTAACGTTGGTTGGCGGGAGAAGTGTGGGCAGACGTGAGTGAGAACGGGCGCGCTCCTCATGACTTCGTGTGGTCCCGCCCTGCCTCCCCAACGGATGAATAAACACTCCCTTTGGGTTAAACAAGGCCTTTCCCTCCTCCTCCACCTCAACTTTCTAATGATGGGAACTTCTTGTGGAGGAAGGATTCCACTCGGCCACGATTTAATGACTAACGCAACCATTACGTTTCTCGCAGGACAGGTGAGGGTGTTGCAGCACGGCGCTCTTTGCGGCTGCTTCTCTTTGATAATTAATTTGACTCTTGTTCCCACATGCCCAGCCTCGCTTCCATAAGCGCTATAGGTGACAGTGCTTCATCCAAAGCCGCTGGGGAGAGGATCACCGTTCCCTTTCAGGCCCTGCAAAAACAACTATTCCACTCTTCCCATTTTCTCTCTACCCTGTTCTTCAGAGGTTTAAGAATATTCGACTCCGTAATCACGTCCATGCAGCAAAACCAAAAGCCTCCTGACCTTTTTCCTTTTAATTCCCAGATTTACTTCTCGCTGGCTTACCTTGGAGTCGGCGATTGGCTTCGGCGTCCTCGCTTTGCTGTTCCCGTGGGAGAGGGAACGCACGGAGCTGAAGCAATGCTGACACCGTGGTTATCGGTAGGCGTACACTGAGGAGCTTTAAAAGAGGGAGCTCGGCGCCTTCCCGAGGCGGGAGTGCTGATGGAGCGGGCTCGTTCAGCTTCCCCTGGGTTGTGAAGTCGGTACTGAACGACGGTGCCTCTGTGGCAATGCGCTATTAATACCCGAACGGCTGAATTTGAAACGGGGCCCGGGGAAAGGGTCTTTCTGTCGTGCTGGAAATTGCCACCCAAGCCTGGGGTAGAAATGCAAACCCTGCCTGGGTCTGGGTCCTGCTGCAAGGATTAATTCTTAAGATGTTAAACTTAATTCCTTTGTTTAAGCCCATGCAGCTGCTTTCTGCTCTTGGCTGCTTAAGACATCAGAGGGAGGTTCAGAAGAGGAGGAACCTTCTTCCCTCAGTGAAACAGCATGAGGGCTGCGGGCGATTAACCTCTGTGCTTTTGGAAAACCCCTCCATCTGCTCCTCAGGACGGAGTCAGGTTCTAACGTGCCATTTGTCGGGAGCTCTGCTTTCCTCCAGGGAAGAGAATTCAGGCTGGGAGAGGTGGAGGGAGGAGAGCACCAGGGTTAGCCGCAGGGCAGGAGCATGGCTCCGGGCCCTCCTCATGACACCCCGTGTTTTGGGCAGGGTTGGGGGCTGTCCTGACACCCTCGAGGCAGGTTGTTTCTATTTTAGGCGAACACTAGCTGGTATTGCAAAACCTTTGCCCTTCTCCTGGAGGCTTGGGCCAGACAAGTGCTCTTCAGGCTATTTTCAGCTGCATACCATAATCGTACGTGATCCTAAATTCGCCGTGGGTCTGGGTGCCTGCGGCGTGCTGGGGCCGGGGCGGGGGGGTGCAC